GTTTAAAGGAGGCTTTAGTCAAAGTGGTTTCACACTTAAAGTTGGATTTGAAAAAAAAAATGTGCCAACTCCTGATTGTTTTACACCAAACTGTATTTGAAAATGATGTCTGTTGAAGGAATAGTTTGGGAAATAGGCCTATTCACTTTTTTTTTTGCTTAGTTAGATAAGAAGATTGATGCCACTCTCATGTCTGTACGGTAAATATGAAGATTAGCTTAGCTTAGCGTAAACACTGGAAACAGAAGGAAACAGCTAGCCTCGCTCTGTCCAAAAGTTAAACAGAATCCAACTACCAGCGCCTCAAAAGTTCACTAGTTAACACACTATATGGTATTGTAAGACATACAAAAACCAAAGTGTCAAATAATTTGTGGACTCGACAGCAGTTGCCAGGCAACCAGTGGAGACTCCAACAAGTCATTGCTCCAGGCCAAGAAAAACACCCTATAAAATGACACATTGTTGATTTTTATAATGTGTTAGTGAGCGTTAGAGGTGCTAGTGGGTGGATTTTATATATTAAGACAGAGCCAGGCTAGCTGTATTTCATTTTCAGATTAAGTTCAGATGAAAGTGTTAGGGCTTTGGTCGTTCTGTCAAGGCTCTCATTATACGTGGCATGGTTTTGTCTAAACCGATGGGAAAATGATAGACTCAGCCAGGCTAGTTGTTTCCCTCTTCTTCCCAGTCTTGATACTAAGATAACCTAACACTGTCCTGGCTGTTCCCTTCATATTTAGCATACAGACATGATTGGTTTCAATCTTGTCATCAAACTTCCAGCAAGAATGCATATTCCCAAATTGTGGAAATATTCCTTCAAGTTTTAGAGCTGAAAACTGAAGGAATCATAATTTGTTGAGATTACATGAGACAGAACATACGCTTGATAATCTGCTCAGTGGTTTGTGAGATGCAGTGCAATAGCCAAATTCAGTGTGACTGAAAAGATGTTGAATCATGACTCTTATGTTCTGTAACATACGATGTTAACTATGAGTAAAGACTTGAGTATGTTTGTCATTATAATGCCATGTGGCTATGGTGCACTCCATGACCATCTGATCTCTCATCAGCTGCCATTTCTTCTCATAGTGCTGAAGAATGTGGAAATAAACCTCCTTTCAGAGATTTCTGGTTTTTTGTGTACTTTCCCAATTTGCAACTACTCAGAGTGTGAGATAAGATATACAAGTCAGATGTCAAGAATATAGTAAGAACAGAAATGAAGGCGGTTTGCATCATAATGCTACATATTGTGGTTTTCATCATCGTCATTGTCGTCATCATCATGAGCTCTTAACTAATTTTGTACATCATGTTCAAAGGAATATCTCCCACCAAACAATCATAATCTAAATGACATATTGTAAAACCTCAACTTCCTGTTCATGCTACAAGATAGATCTCTGTCAAAATACTGAAAGTATCAGAAAACTGTAATATCTCTTATTATTATTATTATTATTATTATTATTATTATTATGATTGTGTATTTTTTTTTCTCTTTAAATCTGGTTTGTTTTTGTCTGGTACGAGTGTAATCGCCACCAGTGGGTGATGTACATGTACGGGTCTGAGCTGTACATTTTTGTGACAGATGTGTGTATTTACATACAGGTTGCATTGGTCTAACTTTGTGACTATTATATCAATTTATGAATTGAATGAGTGCCAAATAATGCTTGAGCATGACAAAACCTGGGACCTACAAGGAACTGCAGGTACTCTCTGACTCATCAAGTGAGACTCGAGTGACTCACTGCTGTTGTAGACTCTACTTGTGATATGAATGCACAGCTAAAGGTTTAACCATGCTAAATATTTTTGCTGAAAGAGGGAAAACTTCTTTATGTTTTTGTCTGGGTTTGAAAAAGTTTCTTCAGATATTTGTTGTATGTTTCTGTGTCCATCCATGGCTTATAAATGAGTATGCAGTGAGGGTCTTATCATTGCTGCCATTAGAGGTGAATTTAAAAAGCTGATTTGCTTCATCTGTTGGACTGTCAAAAGAAACATTTGGGTCATTTTCATTCTTAAATCATTCCACACAGAGATGCATTGTATGTTATCTGACCTCCTCTTCATCCCAAAAACAAAGTGAGCCTGACATTTGGTGAATTTTACCCTGAATTTTATCAATTATAGAGTGTGGATTTGTGCAAAATGTAAAAGTAAATGTAATTCTAATATTAAAATGAAGCTATGAAAATATCTTATTGCGCACTAAACAGTGTCCATTTTTTATTCTTTAAGTCAAATCTTTATTGTCTCAAAGAATCAATAAATGCATTTGAGCAAACAAAGCTTTTCCCTCCAGGATCATGTGCCTCTTCAGTTCATAACATGTAAAATTTTTAACATTACAGCATTTACAAGATATTTTTAAGGTATTCCTAGAATATTTTTATAAAAATATACCAGAACCGACTGCTCAACAATCTGAACAGTATAAGATCTAAAAAAAAAAAATCTTTTTTTAAGAGAGAAAGAAACGAGTCAGGTCAAAGCAGCTTATGTGAACACCGAACCTTTTTTGGGCTGTCGATGATCAAACCTGATCACTCCTGGAGGCGAAATGCTGTGTTTGCTCTGGTCTATTTATTATTTTCAAAGGAAATATTTAAAACAGACATGAAACGGGCCTGTTTAAATGTGTGTAATACAATACTCCAACCATTGTGTGGATAATCATTCATCCTCCGACCCAACAGCTGAGAATAACTGCGCTGTGTGAGGGATTTCTGTACCCTGAGGAGAGAAATGATGTTAACTGTGTAAACACCATTCAGAGTAGATTGCCTTCTTGTTGAGAACATATACAGCTGTCTGTAGCTCAACAACCTGCCCAGGATAAATTACTTATTATCCAAGTGAACATAATCATGTTTCCCATTTTTGCTTAAATCAGAAATTAAATTGTGATTTTATTCAACATTTGTTTTTGCAGCTGAATATTAACTTTTTTTGAGCATGTACTTAGTGTCTGCCTGTGTGTAAACAATTTTAATAATTTGATGTACAGAGAGCATGGTCCTTGTTAGCTCTAGAGATTTACAGCAAACTGTAAATATATGCCTTAAATAGTAGCTGTCTTGTCTTGTGTTCGTATGTCTGTCTTGTTTTATGGTTATTGAATTATTGTATCAAAAGAGGAGCCTCACAAATAAAGCAGAGCTTTTATTGTTTCTACTCTACTTGGCGTCAGTAATGTTAAGTCTTGAGAGGTTTTAACGTAACTAAAGCGCTCAATAATTCATTTTGTTGTAACAGAACGCAGGTAGATAGACAATGCCTGTACATGACGTCATGAAACTTGCGCTACAGTTTGTCATTTGAGTGTTGGATTTCTGTCTTAGCACCAGAAATATGATCATCTCGAATTTCCAGTTTCCCAGTGCAGTTTTCACTACAAACAGCAGCTGTGTTTTCCGTTTGTGCAAACCTGTGACAGGAAGTTGTGGTAGGGCTGCTCATTTAAGGGGAAAAGAGATTTAAGACAAAAAAAGTAAGTTTTGGCTACTTCTGAAATGCAGATAAGCCAGCAGAATTTAAATTGCAATAATTATGGGCCTTGAGTTGTGTGAGTTAAAATTCCTTTCATGCACTGTAAATAGTACATTATTATTGAGCCAAAAAAAACAATCATCTGCAAATTATTGTTGTAAAGCAGCTGTGCAATGTATTTTTTATCTTAGGTTATGTAATGGTGTTTTTATGGGTCATTTAAGTGGTGATAATTTATATTTTATATTACCTATGTATGACAATGTAAAGCAATATGACAAAGAGAAAGAGGTTTTCTCGTAATGATAGAGAATTATCATCTGAATCTGCAGGTCCCCTTGGTTTTAAGGAGCTTTATAGTGAGTCTCAGCTCATTGATGAATTCTCTGGTATGTAAATTAAATGTTTTGGTTCACTGTCACTGCTTCAGCCACCACAGGTAGTTGTTTTCTAAGATGGTTAGCATAAGCATTTAGCAGCTTAAGAGCCAGATATTTCTTTCAGAAGTTGGTGGAGACCGAAAACAGAGTTAAAAGTTGCTCTGTAACTGATGTGTAAATAAGCAACTGTTTGCTAACAGCATATCATATTAATATGGTGATATATGTGTTTTAGTACTGTGTTCACAACTTGTTTCCCATGCCGCCAAGTTGACAAAAGTATGTTATTGCAGATTAAACAAAGTTGGGAGGAACTCCAAACCACTAGAGTAAAAAGACGACTGTAGATTCTGCAAGTTCAGCTTCTCATTTCATCATTTTCTTACTAACTCCAGCTCAAGTCCCCAAAACTGTTATCTTCTAATAGTACCAGGTGAACTCTGGTGGCCATGTAACCATTTGCTGTTTCCAGTCTTTGAAATTTCTGTAAGCCTTACAAGTGACACACACAAATGAAAGGCCAATTAATGGACTATCATTACAAAATCCAATCCTTCAAGCAAAATCAGCAATGAACAAGACTTTTAAGTCCACAGCCATGCGACAAGCTCTGTGAGGCTGTACTTGTTTTGAAAGTTTTGACCTGATGATAGCACTGATGAAAGTTAAGGGATCAGCAAAGTTGTAAAGAAGGGTCTGTACCAAATTTCATAGAAATCCGTTAAAAGGTTGTGAAGTCACTCAAAACCACAAATGTGTAGCGGCAGTTAAACGCTAGAGGTAAAGTCAGGAGATCATAATAATTAGGACTCATCTGGGAGACATAAATGTGCCAGTAAAGGTAGAAGAACTCGAGATGTTTCAATGGAGAAGTAAAAACTTACTTGAACTGTTAGTGATGCAAAAGAAAAAAATCTGCGGATCACCAAAGTCAATAGGACTCATCCTCTGGGCATCATCAATTTCTCTATAAAATGTTATTATTGTTATGTTATTGTTGTTAAGATATTGGTGTCTGTGGACCCCTGCCACTCGTTTATAATCAAAAGTACAGTTTCATTTTCATCTTCAGACGCAGCTTAGCATGCAGTGCAAGGAAACGCAACTAAGCTGCTGCACTTTTCAGATAAGGCTCTTGTTTTTGACCTGGACTTCTACGGTACTGTAGATACATAAACTGTAAGTCTCTTTGCTTCTTGTGGTAGAAAGCTCTGTGAGTAGTGGGATTAACACAAACGGACTTGATTTATCATAGGTGGAGGAGAGCACAAGTTTCTCATGTAACTCAAACTCTTCGGCGTTGCACTTGAGCAGACCTCGCGCTTATGTGATCAAAATATTGTGGATTATGGTTTTAAGCAAACAGACCTCAACAACCACAACAGTCTCGGACAACCACTGAAGTCGGACACCACTGTTTACACAATAACTACGCACATGTCTGTCTGTGAGAGAGCTTTGTGGTTATGAACCTGTGCTTCTGGTTGGACCACTGGCTTATGGGTGTTAGCTGAGCTGATCATCTCATGACATTTCTTCAGGGGTGTCATGAAAGGATTCTTTCATCTGTTTACTGAAGATTTTGTTCTACTGTATGACAGATGCTTATTTAGTCATGTTCCAAGAAATGACATTTGTGCTGCTTGCTTCACCAAAGGGAGAGCTTTGCTAATTAGGTGTAATGTGAGCTGGACTTCAGCCTAACCATCTCACTCAATATAGAAGCTGTTCCTTCTGTTCATTCAGACAGATTTACCATCAGACTGGGTGAGTAAAATTAAGCTTAAAGTTTATTTTACACTGTATTTCATGTACCTAGTAACTGTGCAATTTTACTGGTTTGAAGTCTCAAAATTTAAGCACAATGGAAGATGAGATAAGTTAATTGTGAGATGGAATACACATCTAAAACTGTTTTGCAAATTCACTTACAAAGTTATTTATCAGTTATCTCATATCAAATACAGGTATTAATTAGCACGTTTGTTGAATTTTTACCATTTTAATAACATAATTTGAATATAAATGAGATGTATTATGTTAACATTTTTTTCAAATGCATCAAATTATTGCCTTACTATAATTAACCACAGAAAAATGTATAAATATTTATTTTTGCAGTTGCACACTGCAGCCTCCATATTTGTGGCAATTTATAATGCTGAAATAAGATAAACTTTACTGATGCCACAGTGTCACAGTAGCAGGAGAGAAACAGTTAAGTAGACAACTATAAAAACTAGGAAAAGGAAGTTAGTAAAATAGAATTGATTTATGATTGATTGAGCAATATTACAGTAATAAACACAGTAATGTCAGACATTTTGAAGGTAAATATAAAAAGTAGAGCACCATTGCACAAAGAGCTGCAGATGTACATGATAAAGCTGCACTTTCATGGCACTGTATCACAATAATAAGATGCCATACAGTATAAATATGAGTGCAAACAAAATACATCTATCCAGATAGTCAGCTTCAGTTATTCACACCAGATGGCTGTCAGCATGCAAAAATGTTATTCGTATTGTTTTGCATGATTTATTACCCAAGGATACAAATTCCCATTTGGCAGATAACTGAAGCCTGTTTCCAGCCACTGACATAGCCGAGACGGCTCAGCTGATTTGGTTTAGTTGTTAGCAACTGTGCTAATCTCAATGACTCAAGCTGCCCCTGCCTCAGTGGAAAAATACAGCAAGGAAGTAGACCTTGGACCATTGTCAGAGCCAAACACTATTTCAAGTGAGACATGATGCTCTGCAGACCAATCCAACAGTATTTAGGTCATAGAGGAGCCAAGGGGAACCATAGCTACTTTGTCTCTTACTCTGGCTCTGCTCATGACATGATTGTGTAGAGATGCTGCGGTGCACCCGGCTGAGAGGAATACTGATCAGTTTGCTGTTGCTGTAAGCAACTCATGGGGGAGGGGTAAGTACCTCACTGTGTTTTTTGTTTTACACCAGGCTGCTAAATGCATCACTTCAATTCCGGCATGTGCTCCAATAAGTGCAGCTTTCTGTTAAACACCTGCCGGTGAAAACTTTCCATTCCTGATAATCCGACAAGCTTAAAGTTCAACAAACAAATAAATAAATAAAGCTTGTGAGCAGTGCCAAATAATCAGCTGAGTAGTTTTGTCTCTGTTCACAACTCAAAGCTCCAAAGGTTTGAAAGACCTTGTCCTAAAGAAGTGAAGGAGGTGGAAGGACATTTCAGGTCAGATTTCATCGTATTTGTAATTAATTTAGTTTTCTGTCTCTGAACATGTCAAGGGAATTCCTCAAAGGAAACAGTCTCGAGATGCCCAGTCAAGATAACAGACTGGTGACGAAGACGCAGCTGTTGGATCGCGGCCAATGGGCGAGCAAGTTGGAGTTCCTGCTGGCTGTAGCAGGAACCCTGGTCGGGCTGGGAAACCTCTGGAGGTTCCCCTATTTGTGCTACAAAAATGGGGGAGGTAAGCAGGATCCCAAATCTAGAAAAATAAGTCATTTTCCGCTTTTACATCATTCTGCACAAAGTCAAGCAACTGCTCTTAATCGAAATGTAATGCCAACAAATGTGGAAAAATAACCTTGACGCCTTCAAAGATTTAAATGATAAGCTTCTGTTTGTTAAAGGAACATTTCGTTTTTGTGTAATCAAATGCAGCTCATAGGACAAAGGAGACCATTGTTTGGGAACTTGGGATAGTCAGTCATTTATATATTAAAAAAACATTATCAATAATTGGTTGGACATTAAAGCTGTGCCTCCCTAAACTCTGCATTATTACATCAGTGTTTCATAATTTTCAAGGCCACAATCTCTGACTAGATGTACAAGATTCAGTTCTTTAAAATGAATAGGACAGCTAAAAGTACAATCAGTGTCTACTGCAAATACTGTAAGAACCCATGTGGGCTAACAGTGTGTTTAGATCTTACGTTTTTACGTGTGATCAAAAAACCTCTTTCATTGAATGTTTTTTTCTTCCTTCAAAAAAAAAAAGTAGATTTATTATCATGAATGACCATGTGTGATGTGACTCAAATGATCCCTCAGAAAACAGTGATTTGGTTTGTTTGTCATGCTCATTATTCTTCTCTCAGGTGCATTTCTGGTTCCATATGTCTTGTTTCTGCTTGCCTGTGGTATCCCTATGTTCCTCCTGGAGACGGCCATGGGACAGTTCACATCTCAGGGATGCATCACGTGCTGGAGGCACTTCTGCCCTTTGTTTGAAGGTCAGTGTAAACAGAACAGTATTATGTAATTAGCAGATTAGTGTGTAAAAATACTCCTTCATCCCCACAGTTACATCTATGTCCAGTATGTACAAAAAAATATTTTGGAAATGATAATGTGTCACACTTTCAGGGCTAAACCTTTATATAGTATATAGTAAAGCATAATAATTGAATCTTTTAATCACATTTTGTTATTGTAGGTAGGTTAGTGAGTTCCTTCAGGACTGATATAAATTAAGTTGATTTTACTGATAAAACACAACTCTAAGCTCTGATATATTACGCCAATATAGGCATAGCTCAATACAACATAAAATCTAAATGCATCAAACTGCACTGAACACATAACAACTTTGGCCAAGATGTTTTCACTTGTTTTAAATGGAAGAACAGACTCAGTACAGAACTGAATGACTTGTTAATATGGATTCTTCTTGCCGTGTTTAGATTGGCATACTATAAATTTGGCATTACCTGATTTGACTATGACTTCATTGGTTTTATTTACTAATAATGTGCTTATGTGTTCTTAACTGCAGTCATAGAAGTTTCAGGGATTTATTGGTTGGTTGACTTGAGAACAACAAAGGAACCTGTGCTCTATTGCAAAATCAGCTGTGATAATCAACACCTGTGTGTCTTAAAAGACCTGTCTATCACACGTGGGAAACCTGAATGACCCTGTTCACTCAGAAGTCTGTCTGTACCTGGATAGATGTCCTCCATATCACAAGTTATATGATCCAGACAAGAGCAGAAATGTCCTATGTAAAGAGCTGGAGCAAAGATTTGGCATTGTCTTGGTCAGACCAAACTCCATCCTGCCTCTGAACGAAGGCGACTGTGTTCAAAACTTCATTCTCATTAAAGAAAAATCCCTTTCCCTCATTAGAGCGGCTAATGAAGGGAATAGGAGTTACGTGTTGACTTTCCCCGGAGGGGCTGACACCATACCTCTCAATATGAATCATCACCTTCCTATTCATAGGAGGCATTCATATTATTATGCTGTCATGCACACCAACAAGGATGAGTAAATTGATGGATGGATTAATTGTACACTTTGATGTGCAGGTTATATATCCTTGCTCAGGAATTATGGTTATAAGACCAGTTGCTATCAGTCAAGATGACTGCGCAGAGCTCTCACTCATTCCCATGTATCAACAAGATCACACACTTAAACATCTTACCAGTCAATTAACCTTAGTCATAACAGGTTTGCCAGCTGGCACAATGAGAAGAAACTCGATCCATGCTAGCCTGTGAACAGGCATGCCTCTCCTCAGAGCAGCTGGCATAGCTTGAATCTTGCTTCACATGCTTCACATGTGGCCCACTGATACTATTTCTTTAAGAATATAGATCTTATACATGCTCCATTGTTATTTTTTCCTATTATTGTCAATAATTAACATCAACTGCACCTCGTCTGTCTCCCCAGGGATTGGCTACGCTACCCAGGTGGTGATTGCATATGCTGCCGTGTCATACATTGTCATCCAGGCATGGGCCTTCTTCTACCTCTTCTCATCTTTCAGTGCTGAAGTCCCATGGGCCACCTGCAGAAACACCTGGAACACAGGTAGACATGCAGACAGATACAGAAATCAATCAACCTTATATCTACTTAAATGCAGAGAAAGGCCCGTGAGGTTGCATTTGAATTGATACAGAAATACAAGAATTTCTAATAAATTGCTTGCGTTCTTGATTGATTGATAGCTCAAGTGACTGGTTTCACAAAACCCTGTAGCAGTGATATTCCAGGGTTCCTCACATCTGAAATTAGTGTAGAATTATTGGGATTAATTTGTACTTTATGAGTTTATAGAACTATAAGTATCTCTTTGTTATCAAATATTTGTTTATCTACACTTTGATCAAATAAAATATCATGTTTTTTTTTTGTTTCGTTTTCTCAGAGTCTTGTGTTGAATTTGATAAAACAAATGCGTCCTCAAACTGGACAGCAAACGCAACAACACCTGCAACAGAATTCTGGGAGTAAGTATAATTCACACATGTCTTCTTTTTCATTGGCACTGACACGGAAGGTGGATATTGCGAGTATTTGTCCATGATCTTTAACACTTCATCATGAAGTGACGGCCTGGAATCTGTTAAAATTACATGCCGTCACCACAGAAATAATGACGTGATGACAGAGCTGCTAGCACCGCTAACATGGCTGTAAAAAAAACCTTTCTTTCAGTGAGTTACTGTAATTGTGCTTCAGTCAAGACAGGTCCAGACCATTTTAACAAATTATTTTGACTGCCGTGTTGAGTTTTCCTAAAAACTCAAGGTAACTGTGACCTCATAAAACATGTTTTTGGCCATAACTTAAGAATTCCTATTCTAATTATGAAATGATTTATGAAAAATGAAATTCATTCACATGAATGTCTATAATGATGAATGAATGGTCAAAGGTCAGCTTCACTGTGACATCATAATGTTCTGCAAATACAGTAAACATCTTTTATTAGATTCCTGCAAAGTCTTCACTACATATGTTATGTGAGTCTAGACAGACATGCATTAAAACTTGGCTGGGGGAGGTGCACAACCCTGAGGCGGTAATTATTGTTTTTCCTTGACATATGAGCTGACAATGACAGAATATAAATGAGCTGGTTACATCAAAATGATACAATTTATTGCTTCAGTTGGTTATACACGACATACAGTATGCATGGTATCACTGATGTTATATAGTGTAATTAGTGCTTCATTTTGATGTTGTATCTTTTTATTCAACTGTCAGAAATATCTCAGTTACTAATTTTCCCCTGAAACAAACATTTGATTTTTATCAACAGTCATGGTAATTATGTATTTATTTTCAGGAGACGAGTACTGGGTATATCTCAAGGGATTGAGGAAATTGGTAGCCTGAGGTGGGAGTTGGCTTTGTGTCTCTTACTGGCATGGATCCTGTGCTACTTCTGTGTTTGGAAAGGAGTGAGATCCACTGGAAAGGTAGAGCTATATCCGTGTATCTGTTTGATGTAGTGGTTCTTGCATGAGGCTAATTGATTTTGTGTTCTGACCCTTCAACTGGAGCAGCACCTCTGTTAGTGCAAGGTGCATGTTCTTTAGATGTTACAATGGAAATGGCTTTAAGCACCAAATGCAAATATGTCAAGCATTAGTCAAAAAGAGCAGTGAGCCTTTCTTCAGGCGCCTTGTTGTTTTCACTATCCCTGTCCCTAACCTCCCAACAAACACGACCAACACCAAACATGTGGCATAAAAAACAATGCAGACCAATCTAGGACTGCAACTTATGACTATTTTTATTATCCATGAATTTGTTGATTATTTTGTTGATTAATCAGTTAGTTGTTTGGCCAATAAAATTGCAACAAAAAAATGCCAGTTTCTCAAAGCTCTAAGGAAACCTCGAAATATTCACATTTCAGAAGCTTTCATAAATGTAAAACAATTCGATTAATTATATAGACAGCTGCAGATTATTTTTCTGTCAACAGACTTATTAATTGATTAGTCAATTAGTGTTCAGTTCTAGAACAACCAGAACAATCACAACTACAGATAAGTAAAAAAAAAAAATAAATAACATAATAATAACATAACAACTGCAAATGCCTTCATACATGGCCTCCTTTGAACAGACAATGCTACAGTGTCTTCAGTCTTTACAGTTACAATACTTGAGCTGAGCTGAGTTTGTCATATTCAATGTCCCTCTGTGGCTGCAGGTTCACGAGCTGCTCTGCATTAAAAGCAAAAACCTGCCTTTGTCTCATGTTGACAGGTAGTTTACTTTACAGCCACATTCCCCTACCTCATGTTGGTGGTTCTGTTGGCTCGTGGACTCACTCTACCAGGAGCTATGGATGGCTTAGCTTTCTACTTGTATCCTGACCCAACAAGGTTGGTGGACCCTCAAGTAAGTAAAAAGTCAACTATTCAACATACAGTAAATACCAAGACAAGCTGCCACCTCAGTCAGAAGCCCATATACACACATACTTGTGCAGACATCTCCATTCTTTCAGTACTTTAACTGGTTGAAACTTTACTGATATTTATGTTTTGAAATCTGCTTAGGTTTGGATGGACGCAGGCGCACAGGTTCTGTTCTCTTTTGGGATTTGTCAGGGGAGTTTGACCGCCCTGGGTAGTTACAATCAGTATAACAATGACTGTTTCAAGTAAGTGCTCTCTGCAGTTTGTTTTTTGTCCTATATTTAAATGCATTTGTAAAACACATGCAGAAGGCTGACCTTATATTCTAGCAATAAGGTTTTCTCTTTTTCTCTATTATGACTTGATTAGAGACCAGATCAACCAGTAGGCTCTCAGAACCTGAGGGTGCTAGAAGAAAAACTTTAAGAGGAGGGAATTTCTAGTAAAAGTCTCCACTTCTTTAAATTTTAAGTGGTTATAGCGTCTTTCAAGTTATTCTGATGGCATACATTTTTGTTTGTAGAAATATAAAGTAATAATGGAGCAAACTGGTGTAGAGAAATGAGAGAGAAATTAAATGAGGGGGGAAGGTGCAGTGCATTAAAAGCCTTTGTTTAGTCAGGCATGATTTAAAAAAAATGCAGACCTGTTTCAACCTGCATGCTAATCATGGCGTTATTTAAGACAGATAATAACACCTGGTTTTAAACAATCCACCCACACGTTAACATTTTACATCACCCATCATCAGTCATCAATGTTTTATTTAACTGTAAAATAACACGTGACAATCACGTTTTTCACCATTGTTTTGTGTATTCAGAAGCCAGATGTGTTCTGAGTATTCACTTTTACCATTATCTCCGTCATGTTCTACAGTTTTCTTCTCAGTGTAACTTTTTAACACAATCTCACGGTTTTGCTAAACAGTGTTGGTGTTTGTGGTGTGTGTTTTTTCCCTCAGAGACACATTTGTTCTTTGCTTGGTGAATGGCGGGTCCAGTTTTGTGGCAGGGTTTGCAATCTTTTCTGTTTTGGGCTTCATGTCCTACGAACAAGGACTGCCAATATCTGAAGTGGCTGCCTCTGGTAAAAACACCACTACATAATTTGTGTTGTAATATTTACACTCAGTGTTCACTTTATTAAATCCTCTCTGTTTACCTGAAGAGCTGCCCCCGCAGATAATTATAGAGCTGATCTTGATCAAAATTCTTTCATAACCAGTAAAGAATTTAAGGGATACTTATCAAAAATGTGTAAAAATTACATTATCTGATATTTTATTATCAGATTTCTTTTTCAAAATTCATGCCAGTAATTATACCAACCTCAGAAATTGATTATTGGTCAGGCTACGATTAAAAACGTGTAAATTCCACAAGATTTTTGTGTTTTCAGCTGCATTTGAAAGAGTAGGGTTTTTTTTTTCAAACTGTTACCATGATCAACAAACTTCACTTTCAGATAGCACTTTCTCTATTCCCCTTACAATTAGAACCAAACTGTGTTTGCCTTTCTTGGAAATGTGTGATTTACAGCTAAGTACCAGCTAATTTTTAGGAAATTGTGATTAAAGTTTCCAGGAAATTATCTGGAAAATACAGGATCTGCAAAATAAAGTGTTGCCAGGTTTCACAGTAGCTCGACTGTCTTGCCAGTGTCTCCACTTGGTTTCAGAAACATGATCTAATCTAAGATGTTCAACTTATCACTGCAACTTCTTGATTGCAAGAACAAAAATAATGCCATTCAAGTCAAGATGGTCCACAGTCCCAGCCAGTCTCTAACTGTGTCTGTCTGCTGTTTGGGGCTGAGCTGATAGTGTACAGTAGTTTTTTTGTTGTTGAAGACACTGCTATTAGAGCAATGAGTGAACCAAAACAGTAAAGTTGAAGCTAAACAATGAGCTAAGTATGAGCTGCAGATTCAAATGATTCATCACTATGACGTCTTTCACACTGTCACATTGTTTTGATACATTGTTATAATTAAAATATTGATTATAGCTACTTTAACCTTAACCCTAAAACAATTATCAATATAGTAAGATAATAATAATAAAAAAAAAAAAAAAAGCTTTCCATCTGAAATGAATTGTGGAAAGTGGCATTCAATGGACGAACATGTGTTACAGGACCTGGTTTGGCATTTATTGCCTATCCACGTGCAGTAGCCATGATGCCTTTACCTCAGTACCGTCAGCTTGGGCTATAATGCTTCTTCGTCATGGTCATTTGTTGGGTGCAGATACACAGGTGATTGTTATATAAAACAACAAACAAACAACATATTTGCATTTAGCACTTTAATCATTAAATTACCTTCATACTTTAAACTTTAAAAAATTGTGAATTCCAGTTAATTTCTTAGTTATTTTTGGTTTTCAAAGATGAAGTGTTTTTCAATTAGCTCATTGTCTGTGTCTCTGGCAGTTTGGTGAGTTCTTGAGTGCCTGGACCTCAGTGACGACATGTTTCCGCATGTGTTTTCGAAGAGCTTTATCGCGAGGAGCTGCTGCCTGCTTTGTCTCTTGCTTCTGTTGTTGCTGTCTTTCTCGGCCTCCTTCTCGTCACAGTAGGTGAGAACTCAAAATTGGTGGTGGTCTCCCAGAAAATGTTCAATGTTTGTGATCAGTTCACAGTGAAAAAGTTAGCCTGTGGAACTGTCCAGGAAACAAGGCGATACTGAATTATGGGTCAATGTTGTCATACAGCACTGAAGGAGAAGACATTGTCCACTAACAAATAATGTGTGTCTTGTGTTGAAGGAAATACAAGCCACCCTGCAGGAAGATAGAGGTTCAAGTGTTAGTGCACATCAACACAAAAACAACACACTTCATTTCAGTTAGATTAGCAGCTCATCGTGCTGTATGACACATTGACCATAATCAGTATCGGCCTGTTTCTGGACAGTCCACAGGCTAACTTTTATTCACTGTGAACTGATCACAAATGAACATTTCTGGGAGACCACCACCAATTTGAGTTTCTACCTCTGTGACGAGAAGGAGGCGCGAGAAAGAAGCAAACAGAGCAGAGACAAAGCAGCAGCAGCTCTCGGCGATAAGCTCTTCGAAACACAGTGGGAAACATGTCCGTCACTGAGGTCATCAGGCACTCAAGACTCACAAACTGCCAGAGACACAGACCAATGAGCTAATTGAAACACTTCATTGAAAACAAAAATAACTAAGATTAACTGGAATTCACAATTTTAAAGTTTAAAGTATGAAGGTAATTTAATGATTAATAGTTGCTAAATGCAAATATGTTGTTTGTTTGTTTGTTTTTATCTCACCTGTGTATCTGCACCCAACAAATGACCATGACGAAGAAGCATATAGCCCATAGCTGAGGTAAAGGCATCATGGCTACTGCACGTGGATAGGCAATAAATGCCAAACCAGGTCCTGTAACACATGTTCGTCCATTGATGCCACTTTCCACAATTCATTTCAGATGGAAAGCTTTTTTTTTTTTTTTTATTATTATTATCTTACTATATTGATAATTGTTTTAGGGTTAAGGTTAAAGTAGCTATAATCAATATTTATAATTATAACAATGTATCAAAACAATGTGACAGTGTGAAAGACGTCATAGTGATGAATCATTTGAATCTGCAGCTCATACTTAGCTCATTGTTTAGCTTCAACTTTACTGTTTTGGTTCACTCATTGCTCTAATAGCAGTGTCTTCAACAACAAAAAAACTACTGTACACTATCAGCTCAGCCCCAAACAGCAGACAGACACAGTTAGAGACTGGCTGGGACTGTGGACCATCTTGACTTGAATGGCATTATTTTTGTTCTTGACAATCAAGAAGTTGCAGTGATAAGTTGAACATCTTAGATTAGATCATGTTTCTGAAACCAAGTGGAGACACTGGCAAGACAGTCGAGCTACTGTGAAACCTGGCAACACTTTATTTTTGCAGATCCTGTATTTTCCAGATAATTTCCTGGAAACTTTAATCACAATTTCCTAAAAATTAGCTGGTACTTAGCTGTAAATCACACATTTCCAAGAAAGGCAAACACAGTTTGGTTCTAATTGTAAGGGGAATAGAGAAAGTGCTATCTGAAAGTGAAGTTTGTTGATCATGGTAACAGTTTGAAAAAAAAAACCCTCTCTTTCAAATGCAGCCTGAAAACACAAAAATCTTGTGGAATTTACACGTTTTTAATCGTAGCCTGACCAATAATCAATTTCTGAGGTTGGTATAATTACTGGCATGAATTTTGAAAAAGAAAATCTGATAATAAATTATCAGATAATGTAATTTTTTACACATTTTTGATAAGTATCCCTTAAATTCTTTACTGGTTATGAAAGATTTTGATCAAGATCAGTCTATAATTATCTGCGGGGGCAGCTCTTCAGGTAACAGAGAGGATTTAATAAAGTGAACACTGAGTGTAAATATTACAACACACAATTATGTAGTGGTGTTTTTAACCAGAGGCAGCCACTTCAGATATTGGCAGTCCTTGTTCGTAGGACATGAAGCCCAAAACAGAAAAGATTGCAAACCCTGCCACAAAACTGGACCCGCCATTCACAACAAGCAAAGAACAAATGTGTCTCTGAGGGAAAAAAAACACACCACAAACACCAACACTGTTTAGCAAAACCGTGAGATTGTGTTAAAAAGTTACACTGAGAAGAAAACTGTAGAACATGACGGAGATAATGGTAAAAGTGAATACTCAGAACACATCTGGCTTCTGAATACACAAAACAATGGTGAAAAACGTGATTGTCACGTGTTATTTTACAGTTAAATAAAACATTGATGATGATGATGGTGATGTAAAATGTTAACGTGTGGGTGGATTGTTTAAAACCAGGTGTTATTATCTGTCTTAAATAACGCCATGATTAGCATGCAGGTTGAAACAGGTCTGCATTTTTTTTAAATCATGCCTGACTAAACAAAGGCTTTTAATGCACTGCACCTTCCCCCCTCATTTAATTTCTCTTCTCATTTCTCTACACCAGTTTGCTCCTATTATTACTTTATATTTCTACAAACAAAAATTGTATGCCATCAGAATAACTTGAAAGACGCTATAACCACTTAAAATTTAAAGAAGTGGAGACTTTTACTAGAAATTCCCTCCTCTTAAAGTTTTTCTTCTAGCACCCTCAGGTTCTGAGAGCCTACTGGTTGATCTGGTCTCTAATCAAGTCATAATAGAGAAAAAGAGAAAACCTTATTGCTAGAATATAAGGTCAGCCTTCTGCATGTGTTTTACAAATGCATTTAAATATAGAAAAAAAACAAACTGCAGAGAGCACTTTTGAAACAGTCATTGTTATACTGATTGTAACTACCCAGGGGGGTCAAACTCCCTGACAAATCCCAAAAGAGACAGAACCTGTGCGCCTGCGTCCATCCAAACCTAAGCAGATTTCAAAAATAAATATCAGTAAAGTTTCAACCAGTTAAAGTACTGAAAGAATGGAGATGTCTGCACAAGTATGTGTGTATATGGCTTCTGACTGAGGTGGCAGCTTGTCTTGGTATTTACTGTATGTTGAATAGTTGACTTTTTACTTACTTGAGGGTCCACCAACCTTGTTGGGTCAGGATACAAGTAGAAAGCTAAGCCATCATAGCTCCTGGTAGAGTGAGTCCACGAGCCAACAGAACCACCAACATGAAGGTAGGGGAATGTGGCTGTAAAGTAAACTACCTGTCAACA